TGCAGTACATGCAGTGTGAGTGCAGTACATGCAGTGTGAGTGCAGTACATGCAGTGTGAGTGCAGTACATGCAGTGTGAGTGCAGTACATGCAGTGTGAGTGCAGTACATGTAGTGTGAGTGCAGTACATGCAGTGTGAGTGCAGTACATGCAGTGTTTAGTGCAGTACATGCAGTGTGAGTGCAGTACATGCAGTGTGAGTGCAGTACATGCAGTGTGAGTGCAGTACATGCAGTGTGAGTGCAGTACATGTAGTGTGAGTGCAGTACATGCAGTGTGAGTGCAGTACATGCAGTGTGAGTGCAGTACATGCAGTGTGAGTGCAGTACATGCAGTGTGAGTGCAGTACATGTAGTGTAGTGCAGTACATGCAGTGTGAGTGCAGTACATGCAGTGTGAGTGCAGTACATGCAGTGTGAGTGCAGTACATGTAGTGTGAGTGCAGTACATGCAGTGTGAGTGCAGTAACATGCAGTGTGAGTGCAGTACATGCAGTGTGAATGCAGTACATGCAGTGTGAGTGCAGTACATGCAGTGTGAGTGCAGTACATGCAGTGCGAGTGCAGTACATGCAGTGTGAGTGCAGTACATGCAGTGTGAGTGCAGTACATGCAGTGTGAGTGCAGTACATGTAGTGTGAGTGCAGTACATGCAGTGTGAGTGCAGTACATTCAGTGTGAGTGCAGTACATGCAGTGTGAGTGCAGTACATGCAGTGTGAGTGCAGTACATGTAGTGTGAGTGCAGTACATGCAGTGTGAGTGCAGTACATGTAGTGTGAGTGCAGTACATGCAGTGTGAGTGCAGTACATGCAGTGTGAGTGCAGTACATGCAGTGTGAGTGCAGTACATGCAGTGTGAGTGCAGTACATGCAATATGAGTGCAGTACATGCAGTGTGAGTGCAGTACATGTAGTGTGAGTGCAGTACATGCAGTGTGAGTGCAGTACATGTAGTGTGAGTGCAGTACATGCAGTGTGAGTGCAGTACATGCAGTGTGAGTGCAGTACATGCAATATGAGTGCAGTACATGCAATATGAGTGCAGTACATGCAATATGAATGCAGTACATGCAGTGTGGCTAGAAACTAACTGTAAGAGCACAATACAGTCAGCAAGAATGAACATAGAATGAGTATAATACAGACAGTGTGAATACAACATGAGTAATCTGTATACTATACATGCTACATGAGCATGATACAGACAGTACAGAATAAATACATTAGAGTCTGCATTAGCAAGACAATACATGCAATTTGCAATTTGATCACAATACAGGCTGTATAATACAGACTGTATACACATAATACAATCAGCAGTATAGACACAAACAATAACAGGTTGCAACGAAACATTAGGAAAATATTTTCTTCCTTGTTTGCACTATCTCTGTGTTTGCTTCTGCTGATTCCTCTTCGATTGTTCCCCTGTTTATTTATTTTTTTCTACGCCTGTTTCCATATGGAAGGTAGCAGTTACCTCAATCTTCCAGGCAGTAGATAAATTCCCTCCTGATATTCTGGGAAATACACTCATGAAAGGAGGTAAACACATATACACGAGGGGGCCAGGAGCTAAGACTCGATCCCTGGAACCACAATTAGGTGGGGTGACTACACAAACACACACTGCATAAACCTACTTTGGTTTCAGGACAAGGGGAGATACAGGACGAAAAAAAAGCGTTTTCTGAAAGGCAAGAATTCTCTTTCGTGTATTTGACTTCCAAAGCAGTGTGTGTCTCCTGTACCTTGACAACCAGCAACCCTCCTTGTCACAATAACTGTTGTAGCCTTAGTACATGACACACATGCACAACGCACCTATGCAACACACCTGTGCAACACACCTGAGCAACACACCTGTGCAACACACGTGTACAGGATACCTCCCACATACACACAATACACTTCCTCAGGAAGAGCTTCTAAAATCAGAGTTTCCTGTCTTAAAATGAAAACATATCTTTCCATTTGTGTTACTCCGGGAAAGAGTGCTTGGTTAATTTTTTACTATATTTTTTCGCTTTCTCTCACTGTGTGAGGGGTGTGTTAGTGTCCGGCGCTCTCTCTCTCTTTCCCTCTTTTATTCTCCAACTTACATATCTCCCTGTCATGTTACAGTCACTGCCTCAAGTCCCCTGTCATGCTGCAGTCACTGCTTCACCTCCCCTGCCATGCTGCAGTCACTGCTTCACCTCCCCTGCCATGCTGCAGTCACTGCTTCACCTCCGTTGCCATGCTACAGTTACTGGCTCACCTCCCCTGTCATGCTACAGTCACTGCCTCACCTTCCCTGCTATGCTACAGTCACTGCTTCACCTCCACTGCCATGCTACAGTCACTGCTTCACCTCCGTTGCCATGCTACAGTCACTGGCTCACCTCCCCTGTCATGCTACAGTCACTGCTTCACCTCCCCTGCCATGCTACAGTCACTGCTTCACCTCCGTTGCCATGCTACAGTCACTGGCTCACCTCCCCTGCCATGCTACAGTCACTGCTTCACCTCCGTTGCCATGCTACAGTCACTGGCTCACCTCCCCTGTCATGCTACAGTCACTGCCTCACCTTCCCTGCTATGCTACAGTCACTGCTTCACCTCCCCTGCCATGCTACAGTCACTGGCTCACCTCCCCTGTCATGCTACAGTCACTGCCTCACCTTCCCTGCTATGCTACAGTCACTGCTTCACCTCCCCTGCCATGCTACAGTCACTGCCTCACCTCCCATGCCATGCTGCAGTCACCTGCTTCACCTCCCCTGCCATGCTACAGTCACTACTTCACTTCCGTTCCCATGCTACAGTCACTGGCTCACCTCCCCTGTCATGCTACAGTCACTGCCTCACCTCCCCTGCTATGCTACAGTAAATGCCTCACCTCCCCTGTCATGCTACAGTCACTGTCTCACCTCCCCTGCTATGCTACAGTAAATGCCTCACCTACCCTGTCATGCTACAGTCACTGCCTTACCTACCATGCCATGCTACAGCCACTGCCTCACCTTCCCTGCCATGCTAGTCACTGCCTCACCTCCCCTGTCATGCTACAGTCACTGCCTCACCTCCCCTGCCATGCTACAGTAAATGCCTCAACTCCCCTGTCATGCTACAGTCACTGCCTCACCTACCCTGCCATGCTACAGCCACTGCCTCACCTTCCCTGCCATACTACAGTCACTGCCTCACCTCCCCTGTCATGCTACAGTAACTGCCTCACATTCCGTCATGCTACAGTCACTGCCTCACCTCCCCTGTCATGCTACAGTCACTGCCTCACATCCCCTCTCATGCTACAGTCACTGCCTCACCTTCCCTGCCATACTACAGTCACTGCCTCACCTCCCCTGTCATGCTACAGTCACTGCCTCACCTTCCCTGCCATAATAGTCACTGCCTCACCTCCCCTGTCATGCTACAGTCACTGCCTCACCTACCCTGTCATGTTACAGCCACTGCCTCACCTTCCCTGCCATACTACAGTCACTGCCTCACCTCCCCTGTCATGCTACAGTCACTGCCTCACCTCACCTGTCATGCTACAGTCACTGCCTCACCTCCCCTGTCATGCTACAGTCACTGCCTCACCTACCCTGCCATGCTACAGCCACTGCCTCACCTTCCCTGCCATGCTACAGTAAATGCCTCACCTCCCCTGTCATGGTACAGCCACTGCCTCGCCTCCCCTGCCATGCTACAGTCACTGTCTCGCCTCCCCTGCCATACTTCAGTCACTGCCTCCCCTCCTCTGTCATGCTACAGTCACTGCCTCACATTCCGTCATGCTACAGTCACTGCCTCACCTCCCCTGTCATGCTACAGTCACTGCCTCACCTTCCCTGCCATACTACAGTCACTGCCTCACCTCCCCTGTCATGCTACAGTCACTGCCTCACCTTCCCTGCCATACTACAGTCACTGCCTCACCTCCCCTGTCATGCTACAGTCACTGCCTCACATTCCGTCATGCTACAGTCACTGCCTCGCCTCCCCTGTCATGCTACAGTCACTGCCTCGCCTCCCCTGTCATACTACAGTCACTGCCTCACCTCCCCTGTCATACTACAGTCACTGCCTCACCTCCCCTGTCATGCTACAGTCACTGCCTCGCCTCCCCTGCCCTGGACTTGGTCCACACTGCCTCACCTCCCCTGTCATGCTACAGTCACTGCCTCACCTTCCCTGCCATACTACAGTCACTGCCTCACCTCCCCTGTCATGCTACAGTCACTGCCTCACATTCCGTCATGCTACAGTCACTGCCTCGCCTCCCCTGTCATGCTACAGTCACTGTCTCGCCTCCCCTGTCATACTACAGTCACTGCCTCACCTCCCCTGTCATACTACAGTCACTGCCTCACCTCCCCTGTCATGCTACAGTCACTGCCTCGCCTCCCCTGCCCTGGACTTGGTCCATTATGCTCCTCCAACTCGATCTGGCCACTTGATTTACACAGGATCAGCTGTTTCCTGCAGAGTGCTTTAGTCAGAGCAATGTGCATACCAGCTTTTGGAAACAACGTTTGTGTGGAAAACTTTGACGGTATTTTTAAAGTTATTTTCAATGGCTAAAATAAGTTTACAATCGCAGGAGTTCTCTGAAAAAGTTTAGGGTGTTCAGTTTTGCTGCTTTTCCAGGAAAGAGAAAGTTATGGAGGAAATAACCGGACATGGATAGAATTTAGGAGAAGACTGGTTATATACATTGAGAAGTGTATAACTCTCTGCGTAAGTAAACCAAGTGGTGTATATCTTTCATTTACACTGAGAGGTGTGTGCATCTCTGTTCAAATACATCAAGAGGTGTTTATCTCTCAGTATATATCTACGTCACGAGATATGCGCCTCTCAGTCTACATACACTGACAGCTTGCCTCAGTCCCTGGTTTGAGGATAACCCAGCCTTAATGGCCCACGTGACGTAGACAGCAGCCTTCACACATACAAACTAACGCTGGAGACAATATTTACCTGTGCCTGTCTGTTATTATATTCTCACCTTTTGAAACCCATAGCTGGTCAGTGGATCAGTCTCTGGTTAGTAGTGCACCAGCATCTTCACCAGGTCTGTATGGTGATATGAAAGATTTAGTGTTCGTTATTCTTGAGTTTTCCACCTGAGAACTTCAGTGTTGTTAGCAGGGGTCTTCTTGTGTTGGCCTCACTTGAACTTCCACATAAGAACTTCAGTATACCGTCAGTAGAAGTTTCCCTGACCTCCAGGATAATTAGCAGGTACTCTCATCTTCTCTTGATCGTTAATACCTGATGGTGCTCCCTCCTCTTCACTCTCGGTGGTAACCAAGGTATGACCAGTGTGTGATGCAAAGACGTTTCACCCTCCGTGACGCAGGAGCGACGTCAACTCTCTCAGACTCGGAAATCATCTCATTGCTTCTGTCGATCTCTCGTTAATATCCTCGAAGAGGTAAAGTGGCGTGGCCCCTTACATCGAATATCTTCTGGAAAACAGTAGTGTGGCCTCCACACCGAAGGATCTCGTGGTACAAGAGTGTGGCCCGTACCCCGAAGATTGTTTGAGGGTACACTTGGGTGTCCTGTACCTCAAAGAACGTCGTCTTTGGTACAAAAATATGAACAAGGATGGTATTAAAGACAGTGTGGGCCGCTGGAGTGTTATCTAGAGATAATAAACAACACAGAATTCAAAGATTGTCTCCTTCAGGACACCGAAGCTTACATAACCTCACCGAGTGGACAGCCCTAGAAGTTTCTTGTGTATCAGGGTACCGTCTTCTCTGCCAGAAGAAATAAACAACGAAATGAATTAAAACGAATTTGAATTAAACAGTGTGAAAATATACTTTACACAAAGTGTCGGTATTAAAACTCTGGACATAACTGACGTATAGAGAGAAATGACATTACTGAAATTAATGCTACTGAAACACAGTAAAAAAAAGCAATCAATAAGCAGGGTATATACACCGAGAGATGAATATCTCTCAGGGTATATACACTCAGAGTTTACTATCTTTCTCACATAAGAGATTCAAGTATTTTTATTGATGGTGGAGAGTGAGATACAGCATTAATGACCCTCGTGTAGTCCATAATGAGAAATAACCAAACCAATAATCAATATTTTGTTTAACACACATAAAGTAGGAGTTACTCTTCTGTTATATATACGATTAATGATAAAATCTTCACACTGAACACAACACAACGCCAAGATGATTATCTGTTGCACAACGGTGTTTTTTTTTATATTTTTCACGTATATACCTGAGTATAGTCTCTCTCTTTCTCTTTCTCTCTCTCTCTCTCTCTCTCTCTCTCTCTCTCTCTCTCTCTCTCTCTCTCTCTCAATCTCTTTCTCTCTGTGCTTCTTCCGAACTACTGACGGTGTTCAGTCTGGTGTGGGTAGTGTTCGGTCTGCTGTGGGTGGTGTTCAGTTTGGTGTGGATGGTGTTCAGTTTGGTGTGGATGGTGTTCGGTCTGGTGATGATAGTGGTGTTCGGTCCTGGTTCGGGTCTCGGTGGTCGGAGATTCTCACCAGCATCGATCGGCGTCTGTGTTTTTCTCTCAATTTATTGCTGACACTGACGGCCCTCACACACACACACGCACACACACGCAACATACACTCACACACACACACACACACACACACACACACACACACACACACACACACACACACACACACACACACACACACACACACACACAGCTTACTGCTTTCCCTCCTGTCACCTGTCAAGTGACTGTTTTCCCTGCTGTCAGGCTGTTTACCCCTTCGCTAGCAGAGAGTTGGTCCTTCAATCATTTAACTGTCAGTCCAGCCAGCCCAGGTCTAAGACCAGCTGACACCCAACTGACAGCGTCAGGGAGGCTGACACATCACTACATACATCAAATATAATTTACTTGACTGAAGAGGATGAATGTCAGTGTTTATGACCGATTGACGATCATGTTTCCGAGAGAGAGAGAGAGAGAGAGAGAGAGACAGACAGACAGACAGACAGAGAGAGACAGAGAGAGAGACAGAGAGAGAGACAGAGAGAGAGACAGAGAGAGAGAGAGAGAGAGAGAAGAGAGAGAGAGAGAGAGAGAGAGAGAGAGAGAGAGAGAGAGAGAGAGAGAGAGAGAGAGAGAGAGAGAGAGACAGAGACAGAGACAGAGACAGAGAGAGAGAGAGAGAGGAGACGGCATCAGAGGCAGCCTTCACGAGATGAATCACGGTCAGACAGATTTTGTGATCACTATCCACATGAATCACGCCCAAGTTATCACGTTTTACTGTGCTGTGGTATTGTTGGTATTGTTGATAGTGTTGCATTCGTGAAGTTGATTGTATTTCTGCCGTTGTGGTATTGTTGTTATCGTTACTGTTGTAGTATTCTCAGTATTGTGGTATTAGAATACTATTGTTGGTATTACTGCATTGTGGTATTGTTGTACTCTTGTTGGTATTGCAGTATTGCTGTATTGTGGTATTGTATTATTATGTTGGAGTATTATTGTATTGTAGTACTGTTGGTACTGTAGTACTGTTGTATTGTGAAGTTGTACTAATGTTGTTGGTATGGCAGTACTGTGGTATTGTAGTACTGTTGTTGGTATTGCAACATTGTAGCACCGTAGTGCTGTTGTATTGTGGTACTCTTATTGGTATTGTAATCTTATTGCGATGCAATACTGTTGTTGGTACTGCAGTATTGTAGCACTTCTGTTCGCATTGCAGTACTGTAATATTGTGGTATTGTAGTACTGTTGTTGGTACTGCAGTATTGTTGTAATGTTGTGCTATTCTTGGTATCGCAGTATTGTTACACTGTGGTATTGTTGGTGTTGTGCTATTGTTTATATTGCAGTGCTGGAAAAACAATAGGCGTCACTGTATTTCTACTGTAATCTTTTTTTATATTATTTCTTGCGCTACGGCTGAACCGCAGCTGTCCATACGTTGACAGTGAAGCGCTAAACCCACACGAGCTACACCGCGTGTACCAAACGAACTCGTAAATTTAAGACCATCAAAGAACATAAGGCGGGTCCTTCTCAGACCCCAAAACCCCCGTTTGGCGTCGCTTGATTTTCGGGCCAGGTAATACTTGAGTATTACGGGGAAATACTACGAAGGGGGGAGTGACAATATTCTGAAAATATCTGAAGCGGCTATTATTGCGTTGAGTCACGGTATTACAGCGAACGCACGTCACGCGAAATACATCGCTAAGCGGATATTACACCCGTTGACTCACTGCTGAAGCACTTCGCTTAAGTGGTCGTTAGTGCTCGTTACTGGCTTAACGAGGAAATTCTTGTCGGTGTGAGCGCTAGACTCGCCATCACCTGCGCTTATGTCCTCAGAGATAATGTACAAATATTAAGCACAGTGAAGAGGCTAAAATTATTCGTTTGCCAATAGTTTATAAAAGAATTCCGTGTTTTCTTGGTCAGAAACTTTGTGAAGGAAACATAATGGAAAATAGTTTCTTCTTAGTTTGTGTACGAAACAGGTGGAGTTTCCCAGCCCTGAATTCGTGAGCTCAATGACCCCAAAATTCGTGAGCCCAGCTGGACCAAAAAATTAGTGAGTCCAGAAGCTCAAAATTCGTGAGCCCAGCGGCCCCAAAAATTCGTGAGTCCAACCGCGTGGATGAAATTACTTCACAAGTTACATTAGCCTAAATATAGTAATCATACCACGAATAGTTATTACCACAAACAATATAACAAGCACCAGAAGTTATAAGTTCATCTTTGACTCTTCCTGCAAAAGATATTGTTCATTTTATTATGGAAATTTTTTTTTTTTACTTTACGCTGTGGACCAGACTGATTATAAAAAATCCTGTTTATATTAACCGGAACGTAATTAAGTCAGAAGTATGAAGGGTTGGGGTTGTGAAATACAGGGATACTTTTCTCAGGGCTACAGTCACCATTATGTATCTACGTATTTATTATTATTATTATTATTATTATTATTATTATTATTATTATTATTATTATTATTATTATTATTATTATTATTATTATTATTATTATATTATTATTATTATTATTATTATGGGAAAATCATACAGCGCTTGGGAATGGAAGGTGATCCAGAGGAACAGGCGAAGGTAGCTCAGATTGCCCGGATCAAGAGCCCTCCACCACCCTCATAACACGGGTTAACACAGATTACGAAAACCTGCGTTTTTCTCATGTGATCCTGCGCAGTGTTTCTCATCAGTGTTCCCTACACAGTGTTTCACATTTCAAAAGCCAATTTAACATTAAACGGCGGAGAAAAGGTCCCATTAAAATTCCAAGATGAATTTTGTAAGATGAATTATGGGAAACTCTTTTATATTTTGAGAAATTCTTGTCATTCCAAAATAACACATTTCTACATGAAGAAACTCTTCGTTTTTTTTTAATGATCTTGTTTTAGAAATTTTGAATTGTATTCAGGCACACACATTGACGGATTTCAAGGAGCTGCCGCACCATTAAATGTATATAGATACCAAAAAAATCTTCTATCTGCAACTTATACGTTTTCCATCACAGACTTCAGGTTAGTAGCTAGACGCTGAAGTATGAGAGGAAAATCCTCCAGATTTTGATTTACGGGACACAGACAGGTTATATCAAGATAATTTAAAACTTATATTTGGAACTACTAGGCTATCTAGTGGCCTAGTAGTTCCGTATTCTTGATAAATTTATCAAGGCTGAGGGACTGACCACCTTCTATCAAGGCTGAGGGACTGACCACCTTCTATCAAGGCTGAGGGACTGACCACCTTCTATCAAGGCTGAGGGACTGACCACCTTCTATCAAAGCTAAGGGACTGACCACCTTCTATCAAGGCTGAGGGACTGACCACTTTCTATCAAGGCTGAGGGACTGACCACTTCAAAATTACCTCATTACTTCTTTTAGTGCTCCAGATAATATTTTCTGTATTGGATTGAAAAGGCAAACTGGCGGGCGAAACGTCTCATTATTTAAGACACGCAGGTGGTGCAGATGTGTCTTACTTATGAAACAATATTTTTTTATGAATTTGAATTTATAGAACTCTATGGAATAATTACCTAACATTAACGAGAGAGTAATTCCCATAGCCATTCCATAATTCTAAAGGTAACAACTATAATTGAAAGAAAACTTGTTTTATCTTTATAATCCAGTTTGTAATCAGTTCAAAAACGACTGAGGAAGATAAAGTACATTAAATTTATAAAGTTCTGCCATAAATGTTGAAAGAACATCGGTAGAAAGAGTCGAATTTTGTCAGGTTGTTGAACACTGGTTGATAATTCTCTTTACAATGTGTACTCGTGTCTGCAGCGATCCGCCAGCTTTGTATACGTTATTATTACTACTATTACTGCTACTTCTACTACCATTGTCATTAATACTAGTACTTTTTTGTAGATATTATTATAATATTCATTGGGAAGTGCTAAACCCGATAGGGTCATACAGTACTGAAAAAAAACGGAAAGGATGGGAGTAATTAGGTCTGATTCTCTGGAGGATAGTTCCAGTTTTTCAGATCAAGAGCCCTTCATCAGCATCAAGGCACCTCCTTCAAGGAATCACTGTGTGCTAACTTCAACTGACCCTCAACTCTGACTTGCTGGTTAACTGGCTGTCCCATAAACAACGATCACCACGGGCTGAGAGATGGCAAATCTTGTCTCGCAAAGCCCTTCAAGACACCGTGTTTTGCTTCTCTGTAGTGATGGGAGTATATAGGTTTTTTTTTTATTTTATTAGTGCACT